AAATTAGATGTTGGATTAATAGCTTAAAACGGTTAAAGAATTCAGAAGGCGCAAACAACGCAGAAACTTTTTGTGTTATTTGTTTATTAACCGTTGGGGGCTATCCCAATTGGACGACTCAATTGGAAATTGATAGTCTCCAAAACGGCCGTTAGTTTCTGTATAAAAAATAAGCTCTATTGGGTGATCTTAATGAATTTTTAAGCCCTTTGAATTTAGATGCCTTTTGAGGATCCTCTAGTTTGCTCTAGCAAATTATCTACCCGGGTTTTCATAAACCGCGTGAAAACCTGCAATTATATAGACCCTTTATTTCAAGCAGAGAAAAGAAGGAAGTTTGCAATCTTGGTGGCGATTGACCCAATGTAAAATGACTAGATAATAGCTAATATTCGTTTAAATTTCAAAAATAACGCACTGTTCTTCGCCGTGAAGGGTCTATTATTTAGTTTTTGGAGAGCAAAAAAGTTTATTTTGGTACTAGGAATAGAGGATAAACAATATCTGCTACAGCGAACAGCCGATAAGGTCATTTCCCAATTTGAATGCGTCTCCCTATGTAGGTCACTATTAATTTTGCGCGAAAAGGCTAATTAGAGCGATTAGAGACATCACTGATATAATTCTAATGGAACATTTCTTAAGCATTTACTTTTTTAAAAATAAGTATAATTGGATTAGCTCTGTCGAATAGCTGAAACGAACGAGTCTATAATTGCAAGAATGGAGCTAGCAATGTTGTCTTGTGGGTGGGTATAAAGGATAGTTTGCTTTTCGCTCTTTCCAATAGGGCGGCAATCGACCTCATCGGTGCAGCCAACAGAAGCTTCATTCCTGAGTATAAACTACTATCCTGCTGAAGTGACACTCGATGGTAGTCTCATAGCTCCGGTTTATTATCAGCCTGTGCATTGAAGTAAGAACATCATCATCTTCTCTAAATATGTTTTCATTCAGCTGAAATGTACCAGTCTTCTGAACTCGTTTAACGATATATGCCATTGTAAATTATTTTTCATCCGACTTTTTACCAGTCCGGCTACGTCACATAGGCTGTGATCCTTCTACCGTAGCTAGTACTGACAAAGTTCTGTTGAGCTGTACGAAACGGAGCTTTGAATAGCGGAAAAAACTATCACGGCTGGACGTTGTAACTTGTTCATGTAAAGGCGATGAGGACGCCGTTCTCCAAAGCCAATTTGACTGCGCTTTGGTCTGCGTAAGCCTCGTACTGATCTATTAGCAGGTACGATTCCTCTAGGGTAGCAAATGGTCGCGATGAAATGCTTAAGACAATTTTCGAACACCTCCTTTATGATCTATCCGGTTAGATTCGCCAAACCTTGGCGTCTCACGAGCGCGTCCATTACTATATGTTTCCTCAAACGCACTTCCGAAACCACGAAACACGGCGGACTTGTATTTTCACTTGTGAACAATAAGGGAAGCATTGTAACAAGGATTCTTTGCGTCTGCGATGCCATTTGAGCAATTACCTTAATTTCTTTTAAAGGATTCATTGCCATTGATAAGAAGAAGCTCTTTGTTTAAACTGAAGATATTTGAAGGAGGAAAATTGTACGACTATACTAAACCTTTGAGATTTTCGAGGAAAGGAGCTCATTGCGTTTATAAAGGATATCTTCTCGAGCTGCAGTAAGAAAACCTGATCGGGCTGTACTAAGGAAGTCGTCATCCGATTTTCCCCTGCGCGCTGACGCCGACTGTTCGGTACGTTTATGTTCTGTTTCGTAGAAAACTCGACCGCATCTTACCATGGTACAGCATTAGACGATCCCTGCGCGTTCGATAACGTATGCCGCCAGTGTAGCGTCGGGAAGCACCAAACACGCGACGCTAGTGCTGATCAACAAACTATAGTTTTTAAGTCATTTAGAAACATCAGACATCTAGGAATCTGATACACTTGTTGGCAACATTGTCCGGCCTCGACAGTGAGCCGGAATATAGAGAAGCGTCGGAGAACAGAGACGTCACAATTCCTTCAAAAACAACATTAGAACTATAGCATATGGTTTCGAAAGTACGATGCCTTAGCATAATACGATATACATATCGTGCTACCTGAAGCCAACTTAATTCTTTGAATCACTGTGTGTAATCAACAGTCACCGGTATGTTATTTCACAAAACCCCAATGTAGTTAAACTCAATGTAATGACTTCTATGAGTGCCGGCTTAAAGCTATGTTATGCTTCTGTATTATTTGTTAAAAATTCGATAAAATGTGAAAAATACTTAGCTATTCTGTATATAGAATTATCTACTTCTATATATGTACAAAAAAAATCTGCTAACAACGTTGCTCGATTGATTCTTAGTCATCTGGTCGTTTCATAATATTTAGCCTGTACGCTAACACTTTTGAAAATACTTTTAGATATCTACACATCGAAGCTATAAGAATTGCTTATAGCGGGGAATGGCTATCATTCAGGTTTCAACAATGGTTCTAAAACGTTTTATCATACTAAACCGCCATTGTTACAAATCAAATAGGTCAGTTGTTAGCCTTTACATTGGACAGCTGGCCTAACCCTGCACCCTTTTATTACGTCTATCAGGTACGAAGAAGTTCTAATACATCAATCAAATCATGAGTCGATTTGGCTCAATGAGAAAGCTTGCAAAAGATTGTGGTACAATAACTGAGATTGGTCGATATATTAGCCAATACCAAGCGTTCAACGAAGTAGAGCTCAGGGTAAAGGGGCACATAATCGCCGTCAATATCTTGTTATTATTATATTGAATGCGTCTGTGCTTCAAGCCCCCCGCAATATTACTGTAAATTCAGTTAAATCGTCAAGTAACACACAAAGCCGTGCCTCGTATATGAATGGTCTATCTGTTGATGACCGTTGAGGTAAATCGGACAGTTGAGCGATGAAAGCGGATGTATGAGGCTGATCGTTTACTTAAGACATCTGAATAGAGTTTGTTCGTTAATAAGGGAATCGATCACGCTACCTTCGCATCAGTTATAAAGATTAACTGCTAAAATATTATCTAATTAATATTAAAGTAAAAGAGAATATTCAAAGTATTCTACCTAAACAACACAATACAACCTTCCGTTTATGGATGGAACTATAAACTTCAAGGTCTCGTAAAAACAATATATATATATATATATATATATATATATATATAAGAAATTTATATCCAAAAAATAATACAAAAACATTATTTATTCACTTTACATATACAGGCACTTTACATTTAGATTCTAACTTCTTGTCATTGCGAGCGATTGAAGTGTGCCATGATGTCGAGAGACACGCTAAGACCGATTTGCTCGTTGTCTATCGCACCACTGACCTCTTCAAAAAAGGACTCGTGCGGCTTACAAAGATTGAAGCAACTGAAGCTTCAAGACGGTTTTCAAGTTCGTTGCAGAAATGGCTGTGTACATCGTCAGAAAAATGTTTAACTCGCGGTGCGAAGTAGTATTTATTGGGATAAATTAACACTTTTGGGCTGCTTCTCAGGCAAGAAGTTGTTCGACATTATTTTTCTCTATCGCAGAGCTACCGTGGTCGTTATACATTACGCAGCCACAATCCCCAAACAATTTTGTACTCTCGTATAATCGCTGGTCAAATGGCAACTGAAAAGGGATGCAGATGCACAGTGCGTTTCCGTTCTTAGTCATCACAAACAAAAGCGAATATTTCAAAGAACCTGCTGATGCGGAAGAGGAGAGTTACAGCCCGTGCTCCGCGTTTCGGTCTGGGTGTTTGGCGTCCAAGGTCATTTGTCCCTTTCCTGAATCGCCGAAGGATATCGATAACGTAGTGTTCATAGTCCGAAGGTGACTAAATGAACTTCTCCGTTAGCCTCACCCTTCCCCCCACCCTTGTATCCATCCGACGGCTGCTACAATAAGTTGATCGGCATCACGTCGGTATATGTTTTCAATACTGTTGTAGAATCGAAGCTGGTAGCGTTAAACGAAGCGGGTGAATGAATGCGGAGAAAGGGAGGGCCTGAGCCTAAAGAGTGGAAGAGTCAAATAACGGATGGGGGTATAGCAAGCTGCGGCTTCGATTCCCTCAACCGGCACACGGCCACGGACGATTGTGATGAGCTCCTGCCACTGACTGCTCCCCTTTCCTGCCGAATCTGTCTACAGTAATAACAGTAGCGGCGGAGGCGGTAACTGCGAAAGCCGTCTACTCAAATAGGGTCTGCAGACAAAACATAACGTAAACAGGGGGTGATAAGGGGTGATCACCGAACTGTAGAAGTTAATTTGTCTTGCTACGGCTTCGCGAATGCTGCGTTCCGCTGTAACTTCCCCTGTAATGGTAGCAAGCGCCCTTCAGAGCAGTGGGGGCGAGACTTCTGCTTTCGCGACTGCTACCGCTACGTAGACTGTTTCGGTTTCCGTATACGTCGAGTAATGCTAGTACAGCTGTCTCCAGTAATGCGACTCTCCCCCTCGTTTACTCCGTATGTTGTTTTCCATACATGTTTACACATACAGACACACAATATATATATATATATATATATATATATTCGGTAAGCCGGTTATATATATGTATGGTAAGCCTGTCATATATATTCATATATGCAGGGTTTACCAATTTAGCGACATACACTGGGAACGCATTCACGTATATAGATACTCGACTAGGCCACCAACACGATATGTACGCTTGAAGGCTTTGTCCTTTAAAAATATTAGCTGCGCTTTCTCGCTCCGAATGATGTTAGAGGGGTTAGCAGAGGTCGAAAGGCCACTGACATTGATTTATTGCTTCATCATATCAAAACTGTGTAAGACAATGTATATGTGTTGTAAACTTACAAACACGTTTGATATGCTCCACACAACTTGGTTTCGATTGCATAGTAGAAAAAGCAAGAAGCTATTCGTTCCTTGAACAAATGGGCGTATGCACACCGAGCCATTAAATAAATATTGCCATAAAAGAATCGGTCAAATCTAACTGTCATGAACATTATTCCAGGTGAGATTCTGAATCCATTCTGAATTCTGAATCAGAGTGATACCATCAAATTTCGCAAATCTGATGGTAATGCCTTCTTCACATGAACGTAAAACTGTGACACGCTTCGTAAAGGTATTTTGTTGCATTCGTTATTCAACCATTTGTATACTGGGCATTTAAGACAATCATTTACTAGATTTTTATTTGTGGTACACTAGATACTTGTTTAGAAGTTTTGATGGTGCTACAATTCGGTGTTGAGCTTCTCTCAGACTCTTCATTGGTGCAGTAATATGTTGGCATTGTCTGCGCAAGCTTAAACGCCCTTGCGCCTTGTTGATCCTTGATAAATAAAAGTGTACGTTTGAAAAATATCTGAAAATGGACAGCTGCTTTTAGGTTTTAAAAAAATATCCCGATTACAAAGATAACTGTGCAGGTTTTTAACTTGCAACTTTATGATATCTATATGGAGAAGTCGTGAAACGGAAGACTTGATATAGCTCGTACCGAAACTGCGTTCTATATGCTGTAGCATCTCAGTCTATGTGGTCTTTTAGAACTGAATATGTTTGCATCGAAAAGTCAGTCCGGGTCGTAGAATACGGTTATGGAGATCACTTTGCACTGAAAAACATGTTATCTGTTGTTTTTGAGATGATCTCGTCAAACCCAGATGAAGCTTCAATTGAAGCAGTAGCAGCATTCGCGATGGATATGATCTCGCATAAGTTTAGTTTTACTTGGACGAATTGGGATCACGAGGCTTTTCTATACGGGTATCATATGCCTACTATCATAGCTGCTATTATTAGTCAAGCAGAGACATGAGAAAATCGAAAGCTGGCCACCCAAATTGACTTGGAGGAAATGAAAGCGTCTATTACCTAAGGAACTGACCACGGATGGCATTCGCTATGCCAATCACAGAGTCTAATAGAATTTGCCAACATGCAGAGATACCGCACATACACGTACAGGTCAAGCTAGAGTTACATTAAGAACTAGCCATGTTCTCCTTGCTCGTTCGGAAGGCAGGGTTCTTTTTCGGTAAACGTAGACGACAGACGGCAGCTACCCCTGCACAGCTGGTAGAAAGATTATCAGAGATGACTGTAAGGATGACAGCGTCACGAAATTGCTCTAAGTGTATCTGATGGCTTTTTTTTTGGAAGCTAGTTTTATCCATAACCACTGTGTGTGTGTGCGTGTGTGTGTGTGTGTTTAACAAGGCCATCGCCATGACGAATATGTTCCTTTGAGTAGGCAAAGGAAGAGACAGGCTGACGAAGCACAACCGATGCTATCTTGCTATTTTCTTTGCCGTCAAGTCTAGCTAAATCCAGGAAACTCTAGACGGGAGACAGATAGCAAGTAAAGCCATCGATCCTTGTCTTGTCTCTTGGCTAAGCTATGCGTTCTCTAAGGTCGACCGGGATGGTCAGGGCTACGGATTTAGGCTATAGGAAGGAGTCGTCCACAGGACAGGTGTAGGAGACCCGCTCGCTCCTACCATCAGTCTATTTTGGTATGAACAACGTAGACAGGGCAGGCGCAGGGATTTACGCTAGAGTACAACTGGAAGACCTCAACGACAGGCCTTAACATACATTGATACGCTCGCAGATCAGAAGCACAAAGGTAGCTGTCTTTTTAATTACATCATTGCGTGCCTTCCTTGCGGCTGAATGTGGTAGCAGGCGTCTTTTTCATTGATCTTAATAAATATATTTTTGTTCTGTGTTAAATAAGATCAGACCGATAGATCAGACCTCGACATTATAATATTGTGAACACAATTCTTATCATAGCTTGCGCAGCTCGTGAACGTACTTGCGATATATGAGCCTTAGTAATTGTGCCTTATAAATAGTATGCCCAGCGCCGATCCATTAAGTGATGATTAAATAAAATAATATGTCAATGTATTTCATTCTATATCTGGCGGGCCCGTTCTCAGCCTTCTATAAGTACTGCCTAGTTCGCTCCTAGAGCCTGTCGCTGCGTGTACTATTAGAGCAAATGCAATTTGTGAAGAAAATAATCATGGAAACCTGCTGTGATCGTGATCTACAATATCAGGCAAATAAAAATCCTATAGAAATCATCATACGTATAGGGCGTAATAACTCGAAGTGCTGCACGTGTATCTAGATACTCGTTTGTTGTTCGTGGCTGTCGGCGACTTAGCTAGTTAACCCGTCCGCTGCTTAACAAACCACAACTTCATGAAGGCATTCACATGTCTGTTACCATAATTTATTGGATGTGATCGATCACATTGATAGGCCCTGTCAGGATTTTGTAGCTTGGAACCATCACTTTCGAGAGACTCATATAGGTTCAGCAGTCCGACGAGCGTTGTCAGTCATTTGGCTTAATAGACGAATGTCACTTTACACAAGGAATTCTCTATTCGTTAGCTTTAGAATAATGCGTAACAAATAGAACACAGCTCTCTCCCCCGTCGCCAATATTTACAAGGCCCCTTTAGTGCACATCTATAGCGCTATAAGGTGTCGGCCTTGCTAAGTCTAACGGTTAGAATTGATACTGGTGATAATTTAGTGACGCGCTCTATAAATATGAAAAGTTCCGACACCGATAAACACACAGTTTATCTAGTGGAGCTTGGTTGCTACTTCGAAAAAAAGGTTTGTGATTGCTGGGCCAGCAAAGGGCGGAGCTCTCCGTGCGGTAGTTGCCGCTCTCTAACAAGTTGTCATTATATTACTTCAAATTAAACTTTTCATGTAGACCAAGTGGACTAACAGAGCCTATCTCTGTTTTGAAAGCTGCTCTTGACCCTGGGGGTCGAGTCCATCTGAATACAAATTTCACTTCTATTTACCTGACGTTAATTGCTACCAGAAAAGACCACCAGCTCGAAGTAGAACAATTATGGCCGTTAACCCAATTACCTTTATCCGATGCGTTCATAAAGAACATATAAATTTCGACGAGATAACTTGCAATCAAATTCGCAGGGTGCGTCGATTCTCCCATTGATATATCTATTTTTTGCTAGTTATGGCAGTAAGTGGGGTGTGCGCGACAAGCGGTCATTGAATTATCAACTAATCAATCTGAGCCTATCGTGTTTAAAGGTCGGTTATTGAACTTGATTGACCCACGGGTGGCGTTCGAGCAACGACAGGCATTGACACCGTTTCAAGCTAACTATCTGTCGAAATTAAAATATGGGCTTAATTGAGTTTTTTTCATAACTAAAGTTCAGTGTCTACGCTTTTCCAATGCTCGTGGGTGGAGCTTTATCATATACAATCGTAAACACACCTAGATATTCGGTACGGATTCAGAAATATTTAACATTTTAGCATTGATGTAAAAAGAATTATTTGAATCACTGTTTTATTGGCAAAGTTGACAAGGAATATCTTATGAAGCTATATCCGCTTTTAAAACTAATATTGCTAACCGAGCACGTACACCGTCACACTGTTGACCCTCCGACCAGCCATTTCAGCCGACCAGTCTATTAAAGCGCCATCAGGCACAATTTGCTCGTCAGTGAATGCTTGCGAAAAATTAATATAAACTTTTGATGTACATAGCATCGGTGATGACCAATCTTCGCTTATACTGTGTTTTGGTCTTCGCGTTTTTCCTCTACTAGCTTTGTTTGTGCTTTTTTTTTTCTCAAATTCTCTTTCCTGAATAAGTTGGCGAACATGTTCTAAGTAGTAACCGTAGATAAAGTGACATTAATGTCTTCAGACTTGCTAAGGTTTAAAGGATCTTCTATAGCCAGACAACTTAAAGGCGACAAAAAGTCTAAAAAAAAATGGTTTTTGACTGATAGATGTACCTTTTTTTTGAAGATAACAGTTAATTTTTTCATTTGAATTTCGGAGTCACGTTGCTTAATTCCCAATAGCTTTCAATTTAATAATGGTGAATATCCCGCTCGCTTTCCTTATCGATATCCTCGTCCTATTTTTCAAGAGCCTAACGACAATGTAAACCGGCTGTAACGGTGAGGATTTTTCTTGCTCCGAGACATTAGACAATAGTTCCTGTTCCGAAAACGAGCATTGAGATTCTTCCATTTTGTTTTTTAATTTTCATGTTGAATTTGAATAAACTTTCTTCAGAATGTTTCAGCAGTACAGCTATCAAATAACTAGTATTTTTGAGAAGGGTTGACGGCCCGCCAAAATTTAAATAGGCCACGCGTAAAGAGAATGAACGTCAAAAGGCTGATGAAATAACCATTGATGTCCAGCACAAAGATCGATTGAACAGCTCGTTATATAGGAAACGAACAAAATCGTATATCGTTGGCTGTAATAAGAAGTCAATTAGAACAGGCAGAACTACCCAGTCGGACCTGCCTGCTTGGCCTCTGCTCTCTTCTTTACTTACATTAGACAAACGTGCTGCCCGTACGTTAGGTCACGAAGTCGAGAAACTATTGAGTCTTTTTTCATTTGCTCTGGGTGGCAAGCGACGTCGAGCAAGGACAAACCAGACAAGCTTGGTTTGACCTAGCTTGGCTTGTTCGACGGAGACCACATACTAGCTGAGGATTACTCCCGGCTATCTAAGCTCTTCACAGAACCCAATATATTTCTTCTAAGCCTGCGGTAGCCAACCGTTCTAGCGTTCCCTCCTACTGTGCTAGTCCTCAAAAGTAACGCTAAATGTTACCGTCGCGAAGTTGGAGCAATCGGCATTAGCAGTTGGTTACCAGAATCCATGCATAGAAAAGCTAAGATTGAGCCAACTACGAGGTCGTATTTATTCTATAGTAACATGTAGATTGGTGCTTTTTATCTGGCGTTGTTTGTTTTTAGCTTTAGGCTTACATTTTTAAATTTAATATTTGTAACAAATAATTATTCGACAATAGTAGATATTAAATTAACTCGCATAATAGTACATCTTTATGAAACAACGTAATACTTCTCTGCAACCTTCGCTACTCCAACATAGAGGAAGCTCAACAAAATCAACAGGACTTGATCCATCTTTGTACATACATTTAATCGATTGTTGGATGGATTGCTAAACGCGATTTGGCTTTTATTATGAAAGGCCGCATTTGGGTGGCGTCTGGCTTGTTTGGTCAATTTAGCGACTGTTTATTATTGCCCTTCGTGAAAGTTCGA